GCGGTGTATGGCCTTGTGCCGATTAAGGGCCAGGTCAGAAAGTGTGTTGAGTCATGTTATAATTCCCCGTCTCTACACCTCAACAAAGAGACGCAAGAAGTTGAGGCCCCTGTTTATGTCCGTGGTGGGGTCTGTTCTGTGCTGCTTGGCGACCGGTTGGACCCAAAGAAATTGTGGGGTGGGCTAGCGTTTCTGTACTCCACTCATACTAAATATCTTGCTCCTGTGTGTATTACTCTGAGTTGGCCTCTAGTCCTCGTGCTCCTTTAGGTGGGGTAAGTGTGGAAGTCGAGGAGTATGTGCCATCTATGGGTTCCTTAGTTCCCTATGCTATTGTCGGTCATCCCTGCATCCCGTGGAGCGGGTCTGATTGAGTGCTCCTCCAGACCCTCGATCCCACAGACCCCAGCCGTCCTTGTTCTAGCGTAGAAGTCCTAGCTTATGGGTGTTGTGGGTGGAGGGTTCGCCCTCTGGCTCCAGCCTATAAGGGTTGCTAGGGGTCTCAAGGGTCAGGGCCTAGATCGGATAGATAAGTGGAGGGAGGGAAGAAAGAAGGGGCGCATTTGGAAGGACCCGGTGGGTGTCCCCCCACCCGCACGGCCCCGCCTCCGCAGGCCACTGGCCCCAGCCACGCCTCAGCCCAGGCCCCCGGGGCCACCAGCCCCCGGAATGCATTTCACGCTCTACCCTTCGAAAGGTAGGATTTCCAGGGGTACCATTTGAGAGCACACTTGTCCAAGCGTTCTTGCAGGGAGGCAGTCATGAGTTCCATGTGGTGAATGGCCTCTACCTTATCCACCCATTGTTTGTATGTGGGGATTGTTGGATGCTTCCAGTGTAAAGGTATAAGGGTTTTGGCTGTGGTGAGCAGATGTATGATAAGTGAGTTTTTGTATGTTCGCATGGGTGTGGGTGTGTGGTGCAGGAGCATCGGCAAAGGCTGAAGGGGGAGGTCCGTTCCCGTGATCTCCCTAATCTTTGTATTGATCATCTGCCAAAATGGGGCTATATGTGGGCAAGACCACCAAATGTGCAGGTACGAACCTGGGTCCGCTCCACATCGCCAACACTCGCCCGTGTCAGCATGTGGCATGTGCCTAAGAGTGTCAGGCATTTGGTACCAACGTGTCTGAAGTTTATAACTAGTTTCTTGGAACTTGGAGCTTATGGAACACTTATGGGTTAGTAGGAAGATTTTATCCCACTCTTGATCTGTCAGCTGGGTTCCGGTCTCCCGTTCCCATTTACTAGTGAAGCCTAAGGGACCATTATCTGCCGTCGCCTGGAGGGTTTCATACATGCGTGAAATACCATGTTCTATGTGCGTCCTGTTTGTGCACAATTGTTCAAAGTCCGTAAGCTGCCTGTGTAAGTGGGCCTTTCCCGGTAGGTGGGTATAATATGACTTCACCTGGTGGTACTGGAAAGTGTCCAGCGGTGTAGGAGGTTGGCCTCCCATCAGATCCGGGAGGCCCCGGAGCTCACCTCCTACACTCCATTGATGCATATAATTCCAATCCGTTGCGTGGAATCGTTTAAGAGCCGCCGGATGGAGTCCCCCAGCCAGGTCCGGGTTAAATGTGATGGGAGTCAGTGGGCCCGAGGAGGTTGTCAGCCGTCGGGCGTAGCGCAGCTTGCACCAGACTCTCAGTGTGGCATCTATTATGGGGTTATTTGTTTGTAGATCCGTGTAGGTAGCACTTCCGAGCCAAAGTCTAGACGGGATGGTGCCCTGCGTTTGCTTCGTCTCCATTGCCACCCAGCGCTTGGGACCCGGGAGGGCGTGCCAGTCAACAATTCTGTGCAAGTGAGCTGCTTGATAGTAGGTGAGTAGAGACGGTAGCCCCACTCCACCCGCCATCTTAGGGCGCTCCAGGATCGCCTTACGGATACGCCTTGGACGCTGATTCCATACAAACTTGCGAATGGCCGTAGCCGCCGACCTGAAGAATGCCTGTGGGATCTTCGTGGGTAGGGTCGCGAACAGATAGAGCAATCTCGGGAGTATATTCATCTTGACTGCACTGATGCGGCCGAACCACGTGATAAACAGTCCGGACCGTCTCGTTAGATCTTGTTGTATGGTCGAGAGGATAGGGAGAAAGTTTAGCCGGTACAGGTGGGTGAGGTCCCTCGGCAGCTAGGTGCCCAGGTAGCGGATTTTCATCTCACGCCAGGCAAAGGAGAACTGGGACCCAAGGCGGGCGGCGAGTCCTGCATTCTGTGTGATCAACATGGCTTCCGACTTATCTAGGTTCAATTTCAGGTTGGATACGTGGCGAACGCTCGTAACTGGTTAGGAATAGAGATCATGGGCTGTTCCAAGAAAAAGAGCATCTCATCCGAGTAGGCCGCCACCCTGTGCTCCTCACCGCCCATCCTGACCCCCGTTATGTGTAGGCAGTGTGAGGGTATGGCACTGGTGCCCCTCGAGGAGTCCAAGCATGGGTCTAGCGGCATATTCAGATCCCCTGCTAGTATCAAGAATCCCTCCCTAAACCGTTCCAGTTTAGACAATGTTTTGGCCAGGAAGGTGTGTTGTGTTCGGTTCGGGCTATATATACAGGCGAGTGTGTAGGTATGGTCTGCTATAGTGCCCTTGATGAATATGTATCTCCCGTCCGGGTCTGTAAGCAGCTCTTTATGTAGATATGGTATCGAGTGCGCAAGAAGGATTGCGACGCCTGTTTTCTTGGCGTCTGGGTGACAGGCGTAATACCCCTGTGGGAAACAGTTATTTTCAAGTTTGGGATGGGCTCCGCTCATGAAGTGCGTCTCCTGCAAGAATGCCACGGACACCCTCTCTGCCCAAAGCTGGCGCAGCAGCTGGGAACGTTTCTCCGGAACGTTGAGGCCCCTAACATTGTTCGACCACAACTTAAGCTGCGCCGGGCGTACATGTGACATGGCCCCAGTTCCCAGGTCCCCTCCCCCGTGCACCTGTGAGCCCGCCAGACGGCGAGGGCGGTGAGGGCGGCCACGGGCGAGAAGGGCCAGAGGCAACAAGGATGGGCAGGGGCGAGACCAGTACGGGGAAGGGGCAGGTGAATGCAAGTCCAACCTCGGTCGGAGGTAAAGTCCGGTAGTTCCTAAGCTACGGACCATCCGGGCACCGACCTATATGTACAACTAAGGTCTGTTGCGTGGGGTGTGGTAAAAACTACCAGTGGCCTCTGTCGCACGTATGTGGAATTTCTGTCTGTGACCCTCTCCCAGGTCCCCCAACCCGCTGGGGGAGGTGTCTAGTGTGTGAAATCCCAGATGTGGGGAAATTCCTACTCAGGGCTCGTGGTACCTTATCTCATGAGAATGGCCAGCTACGGTTTCAGGGTCGTCTAGATCCATAATCGGGTAGGTTGTCCCACACCCTAGTTCCTCAGGCCCACCCCACCTCCACCTCCTCCGGATTCCCGGGTGGGGTGTCAGTGGTCTCGGTGTGCCATCCCTATGGAACACACACGGGCGCGTCATCCCGGGTGTCTAGTCCCATCCCCTGCTCCAGGTCCATCTATGGGCTTCCTCTATCTGTCTGTCGCTCACCCTAAAAAAAAAAACTATCAACTAGGTAAAAAACATCATATACAATAACATAGCCTATACGGCCTACACATTTCAAGCGCATCATCCCCGCTCCCCCCTGGCACATCACCCCAGGTCTCCCTGTGTGGGCCTCCAGCCTACAAACCTCCAGGACAGCTGCAGGATCCCCCCATGACTCCTTGGGCAGATTTTGTATATGGGTTTTTTTTTTCTCCCCTCCTCTGCCCTTGCCACCCTTCTTCCCCCTCTAGTTTCTAGCTGTCTGGGGCCACTGAGACCCAATAAAGTCGTGTACCACCTCGGTAGTTCCCAGTGGCCAGGCTATCCAGATCTCCGTTAAACCAATGTACAGAGGCGGGGTCCCTCGTGAGGCCCTCCAAAGTCCACCAAGACAGTCCCTTCAGCTGGGTGCACCCTTGCGGGGCCCTTCACAGTCCAACTGTCCCATCCCCAGTCCTCTTCCGCGGTGTTGCTTTCTGCTCGTGCTCCCAGGGACGACAGCGTGTGGTGTGAGTTTGAGCCGCACCCGCCACCCATCGGCCCCCTTAAGGGTTACCGGAGCGCTATCTCGTCCGGGGAGCACTCCAGGCATGCCCGGCCTACTGTATACCAGGGCAACGCGTGGGGAGCGTGTGCGGCATGTCCACAACCCAAGCCCCCCATGTGCCTCTCCCACCCCCCGAGACTACCCGTCCACCCAAACTGAGCTGTGTCCCTGCCGGTACCAGTGGCGGGAGGGAAGATGGCTAGCATGTACTCGCCCAAAGGCCCCAGTACCAGCCCCCCTCGCCTGGGGAACCAGGGGTTAGGGAGCGTCTCATCACCCGCTTCCCCTCAGCTGTCCCAGGGGTCCAAAGTCTGGGGTCCAGCTGCCAGGGGTCGGTGTGTGCAGGTTATCAACTTATTCTTCGGGGCCTCCCGGGCCGCCCTGGAGCCGGCGCGGCCCTGATGGCACTTCAGGGGATATGATCTCAGCTGGGACGTCAGGGCCGGTCGGGCAGGTGTGCAGTCCAATTCTGGACGGATATGGTCGGAAGGCCCACAGCCTGTAGGAAGCGAGGGACTTTGTTGGGCCAGCGCAGTACATGCCATTGGTTGTCCACGCTTGCCTGCAGGCTAAACGGGAACCCCCATTTGTAATGTATCCTTTTCTCTTGTAGGAGGCTCGTGAGGGGTTTCAGAGCTCTGCGGGCATCGAGGGTCATCGTGGAGAGATCCTGATATAGAGTCATGTGAGCGTCTCCATAGCGGATGATGCGTTGTGTCCTGGCTGCCTTCATTATGGCGTCCTTTAGCTGGAATGACTGCAGGCAACAGATAAGGTCTCTAGGGAGACCATCTCTCCGCTGGGCTCTAAGTGCCCTATGCGCTCTCTCCAGGCCGAAGTCCATCGGTGTATCATCTCCGAGGATGTGATGAAAGAGACCCGTGAGGAGCTCCCTGGGTGATTCCCCTTCAGATTACGGCATGCCATGCACGCGGATGTTATTTCGGCGGCCCCGATTGTCGAGGTCCTCCACTTGACGACGGAGGTCGAGGAGAATGTTACCCTGCCGCGATGCCGCCAAGTCAGCTGATTGTAAGCGGTGAGTGGTCTGCTGGCGGTATTCCTCCAGGTCATCGACCACCTGCTCCAGTGCTGCCAGGTCTCTCCGCACCACCATGATCTCCTCCCGGATTGCCGCTCTGAGCTCGGCTACCAATTCTGTTTTATCACTCCGAGTCATCATATTTGCGGAGATCACTGCCAGGTCCGCCGACATTTGGGTAAGAGGTTCCCCTATTGGGGAACCCCTCGTGGAGCTCGTCCTGCACCACTTTGCTCGGGTCCCGCGGTTCCCCAAGTGTGAGCGGAGTGGACAGGTAGTAATCCATGGGCCCCGGGGTTTGGTACCCGGGAGTATTTGGAGGCCTGGGGGTAGCCCCTCGTTTGGTCTTCCCCATCAATTTTGCAGTTTTGCTGCTTTTTTAGGGCTTCTGGCGGGTTGGGGCCTAGGAGCTCTCGCCGACTGCGTCCTACTCCATCTGTAGCCCGGCCACGCCCCCCAACCATTTGATTTTGAATGAAATTTGTTAAATCATGTTTTTGTCTATTAGGACAAAAACAGCATTGCGCATGTATTAAAAAAAAAGCACAAACTATAACAATGTTGCAATATGAAAAAGCGGCTATTTAGATCTAAATAGCGACTTTTACACATACTATTCCCATACTCTTTACACTTCTATAAAAGATACATTTATATCCAGTTTTAAATTACAGCGAGCAGCCAGTGGCTGCTCGTTGTCATTTAAAACTACTAGTGACTGGGCAGCTATTGCTGGGGGCTATTAATATAAATGGGGGGACCTAATGTCCCCCCGGTCCCCACCCATTTCCCCCTAAATATTTAAAGGGGGACCCTAAATAAATAAATAATAGGGGACCTAATGTCCCCACGCATGAGCGGTGGGTGGGGATCCTAAATAAATAATGGGAGGGAACTAATGTCCCCCCAGGTCCCCACCCATGACCGGCAAGTGTGGACCACAAATAAAGTGATTAGGGGTCACCGTAAAATAAAATGGTATACTTACATGTCTTCTTTCTTCTTTTTTTTCTTCAGCCCCAAAAAAGGCCAAATAAAAATCCATAATACCCATCGCAACTGTTAAAATAAAATAAAAAACTGGAGCGCAAAAAAAAAAATATGGCGAAAAAAAAATCCAGACAGTAAAAAAAAATCATTCACCCAGCAGGGGCATGTAGTGTCAGGATTAGAGCACGTCCAGCATGTAGAATTGTGTAACACAGAGGACTGATAGTTAACGTATACTGGACCTTAGAATGGCCGGGCTAACGTACCAAAGAATAGTCAGGAATAGCCGAGGTCAGGGAACACAGAAAGGAACACACTGATAAAAGAAAGCCAGAGGTCAGGGATGCCAGAAAACAGGGAAGTCAAAATCAATGCCAAAGTCAAAATACCAGAATAACCAGAATCAATAACGCGCTCTCGGACAACCACGACGGGGCACTGAGCAAGAGGAGATCTGGTTGGCTGTAACCGACCTTTGACCCCAAAGGCAGTTGCCAGGTTCCCATTTGCATGATTGCTTCTCAGCACAAACCCTCCTGTGGATTGATTGCTGCTCGGCACAACTTTTTTCTGTCAGAACAGTACATGCCATTAACCACATTTTTATGGGCAGATGAATAAGTGACACATAGCAGAATGAGCACCGTAGGGTGGGGAAAGGCTTATAAAGCGTGTAACGGACCATTTGGCACACAAGGGGTAAAAACCGTTTAGGCGATCGTCCCCCTTTCCAGAGATGCAGGGACAGCTACTGCAGAACACCAATCCACCGAACAGGAAACCATATGAATGCTGTAAACAGCCGAATAGGAAAAACCATCCGAATAGGTTTACACTCCTAGCAGTCAAACTGGAACAGCATACAATAAATCCCCCCAAGAACGAGACAAAGCTCCGTGTTGAGGGTCAAGCAGTGAACAGGCAGAGCTGCGGGTTTATTGTGCTTATGTACACATTAGTACCACCCACAGGGTTTTGGAACACAACCAATAAACACATACAATACACTCAGACACTCCCACACAAATTCCTCCCCTCTGCATGTGATTCAATTACATTACACAATGGGTAATGTAATTTAGCACAAGCAGAGAAATACAATTTTGTCCACATTATTCATAACTTGAAAAGTATGCATCACATTCACATTTTCAGAATCAGCATACTCCAAATACAAACATACGTCAAAATCATACAAATTGGTCCAGTGGTTCAAAAGATAGATCGTAGTCCTTTGTGACCAAAGGAAGCATGGCTTTTCTGCCCAAAACCAAAGTAACTAAAAAAGAAAAAGGAGAGCCTAGATATGAATATGAGGCACGAATATGGGTAGAAACAAAATGGGGGGTAACCCCTAAATGGTGAATTTAGTCACAATGAAATGGGCATAAAAAATAACTTTTAATGGATATATTAAAATGTGAAATAGAAAAGATAAAAGCAAAACAAAAAGCACAAGGCTAAACAATAATATGTCCTATGTTAAGACACCTCCAGTGTCTTTAGGCAAAAACGCCGTTTAGTAGACCTTCCCCGTCTGCAATATCAGTAACTCCGTTCGCCTAACCTGTAGTGCACGAACCAAATGCAGGGGAAGCGGCAATCTCCCAACCGGGATCCGTGAACGGCTCCAAACTCCCGAACGGCAATACACGAACTGCTGCAAGCCGCCGAACAATAACATCCACCAAGCGGCTTTCGTTTCCATCCAGCAGTCTCTAAACGTGAAGAAGAAATCCCCCCAATAACGAGACAGAAGCTCCGCATTGAGGATCAAACAGGATCTGGCTTTACTGTGGGCTACCTGCCCGTATTTATGCAGGTCTCCCACTTGGTGGACACTCCCCTAGGGGACCAAATGGGAGACTTAAATGACAGACAGATATGGGGACATTCCAGACACATAGACACAGTTTTTACCCACAATGCACTATGATTCCCTCCCCTCTGCCCTGGAGATAATTACCAAGTAACTCAATTATCTCCAGGACAAAGCCAGTCGCCATTTTAAACATAAAACCCAAAAAGACATAAAAATACATAATTTTACAATAACCGAACATTCTTCATTCGTGTCACATATGCCCAGATAGCCTGGATCTGAGTGCATATTATTAGCGAATAGCGCTCAGATCCCATACACATAGTTCAATCGCCATGGAGTCAAAGTTCTTACAGTCTTTCGGTATACGAATGACTCCATGGGAAGGCTATCTGGGTTAAGTCCTTTCGTATGCTTCCCAAACTCAAGCTAGGATTAGATGCAATGATAAATAGAGATGTAGAAAATATAGATAATCCTGATGCTTGTAAAATAGAAAATCTAAGTGCCTTCGAGGGCACCCCTTAATAAATGCTTATACTATATAGCACAACCTCCCAAAAAGGTGTGAATACAGAGAGATACTTAAATAGTAAAAAGTGAAGCCACTTGCTATAAACAATGTTCAAGATAGGAGGGTGAAGTATTGGTGTCCTCTGAACTCCTCCTGCAGGACAGGGTCTGCTGTATATAGATAAAGTATCTCTAATACACAGGAGGTTAAACAGCATACCAATGTGGTTGCAATAGTTAATAGAAAAGAGGCAGAGAATACCTGTAAATAGGGAGGTATAGAAGGCAATAACAAGCTAGGATTAGATGCAATGATAAATAGAGATGTAGAAAATATAGGTAATCCTGACACTTGTAAGATAGAAAAACTAAGTGCCTTCGAGGGCACCCGTTAATAAATGCCTATACTATATAACTCAACCCCCCAAAAAGGAATAAAGAGACAGAGGATAGGACAAGTAAAAAGAATGCCTAGTTGTAAAAGTAAGATCGCTAGTCAGACCGCGGCTGAATAAGTGCAGCAGCAGAGGAATATCAAGCTAGGCTTCCTGAGCCCCTGACGTGCACGTTTCATCTGGGTTACTCATCAGAGGGGATAAGTATTTCTTTGAAGCAACACTTCTCTTGCTATTGGTTCTATTGGAGGTTTAATACCCCTACTTGTTTATAGGACATATTATTTTTTAGCCTTGTGCTTTTTGTTTTGCTTTTATCTTTTCTATTTCACATTTTAATATATCCATTAAAAGTTATTTTTTTATGCCCATTTCATTGTGACTATATTTACCAAAATGTTGAGACACTCTATGGTAGTTTTTTTCTTTTCCTTTTTGTATTCATATAAAATCTGCCCAAAACCAGTTCCACAGAGTCTTCTATCCTGGAGATAATTGGGAAGTAATCAAATTATCTCCAAAGACAGAGACAAAACTCCATTGAACACATGGCAGCAAAAAAACAGTAAAATACAATAAAATACACAAGGTTACATTTATGACATAAAATACAGACATGCAACATATGCCCAGATAGCTTAGGTCTGAGTGCACAATACTGAGTGGCGCTCAGACCACAAACACATACAGTTCAATTGCCATGGAGCCAAAGTCTTTTATTACATGAATAGGCTGCATGGCATAGCTATCTGGGTTATATGAGTTCATTCAGTAAATCCGAGAATCTACCGAACTCCAGGGCAGAAAACATGAATAGACCTTGCTGCATAGGAAAATAGGGTATTTAAATGCCGGTCCATAGTCAAAAGGCAGCAGGCAGGCAACCAGGCTCCTCCAATGCACAGTGGCGAGATTGGTCTGATCACAAAGCCTTCCCACACCCTGCAATTAGGCTCAGAGCGCTCTGGTTGATTTAAGCCAACCAATGAGAGTGCTCTGACAGGTAAATGAAGAGAATGACAGGTAAGTCTCTACATTTACCTGTCACAGAACTCTGGTTGGCTTGAAATCCAACCAATCAGAATGCTCTGTCATTTCACACAGTGTGGAAAAGTTCTTTGGAATTTTCCCATGCTGTGTAATTTGATTCATAACCCTCTGGTTGCTTACAGAAATTCCAAAGAACTTTCCCACGATTTAACCTCCCTTTTATTAATATGGGGTTCATAGTGACCTCCATAGGTTTTAATGGGGGAGGGGGGTTGGAATTAATATTATTACAAGGAGAGAGCTGGTAGCGCTGCCAGTTCCCTCCTAGTTGTTGTTTTTTCGCGCATGCACAGTGTTATTTTTCTCCGTGCTGTGTGGGTTAATCCCCCTGCACCACGGAGTCTATTAAATCAACAAAATGAAAAGGTAATGCATTCGGCATTTGCCCTTTCGTTTTGCTTACG